TCCCTGTACGGCCTCCCATTGCTGCTGTCTCCATCGCCACACTCTGCCATGTGCCACTTTCAGGTCTCCTCACACTGCTGGTGGGTTCCATTTTGTCATAGGGTGCTGGCAGATTACGGGCCTCCCATTGCTGCTGCCAGGCCCGTAATCTGTCATGGGCCCCTGTACCGCCTCCTCATGCTGCTGCCAGGTCCAGAGTGTGTCATGGGTCCCTGTACGGCCTCCCATTGCTGCTGTCTCCATCGCCACACTCTGCCATGTGCCACTTTCAGGTCTCCTCACGCTGCTGGTGGGTTCCATTTTGTCATAGGGTGCTGGCAGATTACGGGCCTCCCATTGCTGCTGCCAGGCCCGTAATCTGCCATTGGCCCCGTACCGACTCCTCATGCTGCTGCCAGGCCCGTAATCTGTCATGGGACCCTGTACCGCCTCCTCATGCTGCTGCCAGGTCCAGAGTGTGTCATGGGTCCCTGTACGGCCTCCCATTGCTGCTGTCTCCATCGCCACACTCTGCCATGTGCCACTTTCAGGTCTCTCCTCACACTGCTGGTGGGTTCCATTTTGTCATAGGGTGCTGTATGGCCTCCCATTGCTGCTGCCTCCACCGCCACACTGTGGCTCCACACTCTGGTTTTGGCCCCGTGACTGCCCAAATGAGTGAAGTGTGCGGTGATTCTAAGATTGACGGCACTCATCTGCATGTCATACTGACTGACAGTATTATTTCTCTTCCCCAGCAGACTCCAAGGGCATTTAAATTAAAGGTACAGTGTTCTGCACTAATATAAAGGCTCTCTGAAGCCTAGAAACACCCTTTTTATAAGTTAAATTCGCAGCGAATATATTCGACTCAAATCAAATTTATTCCGCGAATTCGCCGAATCAGCCGAATCGAATTTTTGAATACTTCGCTCATCTCTAAATAATACCATTGCACTTACAAAAATACGTCAGCGGAAGCCAATGCCATGGGTAATATACCAAAAGGGCAGCAAAAGATCCCCCCACAGGACAAAACAAGGGAAGGAAGAAAGATTTGACTATACATTGGGAGTTATACAATATTCAATAATCACATTTAAGGGCTGCCTTAAATTCCACAGCATGTAAAGGCTTCCCTAGTTCTGCTGCTGCTGATTGAGAGATTGCCAGTGGACCACAAGTGAGAGATAGCCTTCCAGCAAATGAGTGCTATAGCAGCTCTATCATTACTAGAGCAAGATTTAAGAATGTACAAGGTCTCATAGTACTGTTGGAATTAGCTGGCTATCTCATTGGTCTTGTGAAAGAGCGCCCCCCTTGTTTGTCAGGGTTTGCATTCTGTTTTTATGTAGCTTTTTACAAGGTGTTTCAACTTTTTTGAACTGAGGTTGAAAGGTCTTTTTTATAAAGTGCTTGTAAACCTCTGACATGAAATATGCAAAAAGCATATCCCTCTATAGTGTGTACTTGGCTCAATTAAGAGCATTAAGCGTCATTTCTTTCTGCTTCATTATTCTGCTATCAGCATGAATCACTTCTGACATGTTTTCTGTACACCAAGAGAAAAAGTGACAGGGAAGGGACCTCCAGCACACAGTCTGACTTTCAGCCTCAGCTCTGTCCCTGTGTGCTGTGTGAAGGGGGGGTGTCCATTCTCTTCACTGAGCTCTGCAGAGTATAATTTCAGCTCTCCACCCCATTTTCTGAAAGCTCAGACAAGCTTTATAACTTCTGCAATTTGAATGGCTGTATAGAAGAGATGTCTGCAGATAAACAGGTACAATGTATGCAGGAAGATTTTTTTTTTTTAATTTCTGTGTATCACCTGAGGCCATTCACTTCACTGGGTATGTAAAGGAATACAACCACTTTAAGTAAACATAAAATAGTACATATATTAAATACTTTGCATTCTTTGTGTAAGTCATCAGGTGAAGCCCTATACTGTTCATATTTACAGGCTCTTGCTTCTTTTTTTAATACAAAAGTGAATGGTGTTTCAGCATTGGCTCATCCCTTATTAAACAAATTAATCTGATGTTTCAGTTAGACAAATGGGACCTCTATGCAGACAGCCACTGTTGTGCCTTTTATTTAGCTAATCCAAACTTCTTTTGAAATTCTTTGTCATATAATAAATGTTCATAGGCAAAACAAAGCTATGCAGCCATTTTTTACTTGCCTTTAGGCACATTTAGGTACCATTCACATATCTTAGTTTTACGATTACTATCATACATTATGTACTTTAATGTGGGTTGACACAAATGCATAAAAAAGCACATTTACACATGCATTTTTAACACACAAAGGTGTTAATAGGACCTTAAGATTTATTTAAATAATGTTTACAATACTTTACAAAATACAGTGTTATATGTGTACATGCATTAGAAAGGATCTGTATTTTGTGCAGGGCTATCACTGCTACACTATATAATAGGAATTGGTGTTGTCCTCTACAGCTCCATCAGTAGGTGTTGCACTAACTTCTTACTGTCCAATGTTGTGTTCTATCCATGACTAGCTGTATTATCAGCAGCAGTAACTCCTTCCTATTTGATCATGTCACTGGAAATCCAAGTGTATATATGGATGTGACTAAAAGCTATTGTCGTAACCCAACTTGATGTGGCAGCACATATTTCATAAAAAAGAGAGACAATGTTCACTTGCAGCAATTACTTAAGCAATAATAATAACCACATGACATAACATATTTTGCTAATTTGCAGTGTACAAAAAAATACTACAATGTAGAACACTACAGCCATGACTTATTATCTGCAGTGTTCAAGCACAGAACTGTGTCCAGAAACCATGACTCTTGTCAAGGATATAAATAAGAAAGGTAAAACAGCTGATAAATGTGTTTATTTTTAAAATAAAAAAAAAAAAACTATTGCTACATTTATTTTGGTCTCCACATGCTGTGAATTTGTAATAGATGATTGTTAAAGCTCAACTAGCAGTTGTTTAGCAGCCTACTGAAACTGAATTTCTCTGACATTCCTTAATCCCTTCCCTTTGCTTTTTTATTATCTAAATGTTTTACTATACATGCCTTTTTCCATGTGTTTTAGGTCCTGAAATGTGGGGAGTAAGGTTCTCTTACTGGTTTTATTCATCTTACCTAAGACTGTGGGTGGTCTTCAATGTTGCAGAAAAAAACTTTCAATTTATGACATAGATTCCATAGGTAGACTGCTGCTGGAGGAGAGAGGAGGATATGGAAGGCAGATCTTGAAATTGGAGTGGGTGAATACTACTGGCAGAACAAGAATAGGCATTTGTTTTTAAATTATATGATTGGAGTTTGGCTTTGAAGTGAACCTGTTAAGTTCCAAACATTGTCTAAGGCAGTGTTTCTCAATTCCAGTCCTCATGGACCCCCAACAGGTCATGTTTTCAGGATTTCCATTATTTTGCACAGGTGATTTGATCAGTTTCACTGCCTTAGTAATTACCACAGCTGTTTCATCTGAGGGAAATCCTGAAAACATGACCTGTTGGGGGTCCATGAGGACTGGAGTTGAGAAACACTGGTCTAAGGTAACATTACTGATTCCTGATTACTGAAGTTCAGGAATGGGATAGTTCCAGAATGTAATGTTCAGCAAAGTCTGCATCCCACAGGCTGTCCTGCAAGACCCAGGGCACCTGGCACTGCAGCAAAATGCTGAGTCCTGGAAAATTTACCTTCCAGAACCTGGCACTGCAACTATGCTGCAGCATCTATCACACAGACACCAATTATTTGGAGTTTATTTTGCTCCCACTTACCCCAATAATTTGGGGTTTATTTTACTCTCACAGGCACAATTGATGAGTCTTTTTGTATCCCTTAGATCGAATATTTTTCAAGCTTTAATTTTTTGGCTTATGTTAATACCCACTTGAGGTAGCAATTTTGGATCCCCCTCCTATTGGCCTTTCTGCAGCTACTGATCCTGTACACAGTAGGGGAAATTCACAGCAACTCAGAATCTATATCACACCATCCAAGGGGATATATATTTGAGCTTATATGAGGGCTCAGGCTAACTTAGTTCCCCAGTTTTTCATTTGGATGGATCTTTGGGTCCGATCCAATGCTCCCGTGGATATAAAATGGGACAGTAGTCTGGAGCCCAGGAGTCCCAGGAACATTCTTGTTACTAGAAGCCACATTACCACTGTAAGAGTTGAGGGTTCCTGACACAGGTCCACCAGCTCTGTAGATGTGAGAGCCAAACACCTTGGTGTCTCCCCTGAAGATACCAGCCACTGGAGCCTGCCACCTATGGACTCCATTACAGGCATGCCAGGGCAGCACATAGCCTGATCATCATTAGGGAATAGCGTCTTAGGAAAATAAACTGTTCTTCTGCTGGTCTTTGTATCGTTTTGCACTTTATTCAGTAATTGGTTAAAACTTTGCCTTCTGCCTGGTCTGAATGTATGTAACCACTTGCCTACAGGGTACTTATATCCCCCTTCCTGCCCAGGCCAATTTCCAGCTTTCATCGCTGTCACACTTTGAATGACAGTTGCGCAGTCATACAACACTGTACCCATATGAAATTTTTATTATTTTTTTTAGACAGATAGAGCTTTCTTTTGGTGGTATTTAATCACCTCTGGATTTTTATTTTTTCTTAAACAAACCAAAAACCACAGAAAATTTTGAAAAAAAAAGTTTTTTTCTTAGTTTTTTGTTATACAATTTTGTAAATAAGTGATTTTTCTCCTTCACTGATGTGCACTAATGAGGCTGCAGTGATGGGCACTGTTAGGCTGCACTGATGGACACTGATAGGTGGCACTGATGAGGAGGCACTGGTAGGTTGCACTGATGGGCATTGACAGGCATCACTGATGGGCACTGAAAGGCAGCACTGATACATGACACTGATACATGGCACTGATAGGCGGCACTGACTGGCACTGATAGGCACTGATAGGCGGCACTGACTGGCACTGATGCGCACTGATAGGCAACACTGACTGGCACTGAGAGGTGACACTGATTGGCAGCACTGATAGGTGGCACTAATTGGCATTGATAGGTGGCACTGACTGGCACTGATGGGTGACATTGAAAGGCAGCTCAGATGGGCACTGATATGTGCACTGGTATGCACTGATATGTGGCATTGATGTGGCACTGGTGGGCACTGGCACGTGGCACTGATGAGCACTGACAGGTGGCACTTCTGGGGCCACACTGATCATCAGGGCACACTGATCATCAGGGCCCTGATGATCAGAGTACATGTCCCCTCCGCGGAAAGCCGATTACCGGCTCTCCTCTCCTCACGAGCTGTCAGCGTAACAGCTCGAGAAAAGAGAAATGCCGATAACTGGCATTTCCGTGTTTACATGTGATCAGCTGTGATTGGACAAAGCTGATCACATGACTGAGCCGACATCTTCGGCTCTTTCCGTGATCTGCTGTGTCCGAGGGACACAGCGCATCGGCGATCGCCGCGCTGCACGCTCCCTGAGCCGCGCATGCACGGTGAGAATGGTAGGACGTCATATGACATCCTATCAGAACGAGAGAACCACCTTGCGCCCGTCATTGTACTAATGGGGGCGGAAGGTGGTTAAAGAAGTATAATGCAAGTAACCGGCACAATGCTACAACATTGGGTCACTAACATATTGGGGTATGAAGAGTCTACACTATAGAGTCATCTTAATGCAACTTAAACATGTGGTTGCAATGAGCAACAGAGGTGCAGTCAGCAAGCAGCCAGTCGAAAATGTGTTCCTGTTATATGTGGGACAGCCTCTAGCAGCTAGGGAAGTAGTTATCAGCACTCTGTTGTCGCATTCTGTTTCCATTAGCAACTGGAGCAGAACTGAATTGCAAAGGTCCTCATCCTGCACAGAGGTATGACAGCTCAAGAGTTAAAATAAAGTGCATGATGGAGCCCATGCTATGTGCACAGTGGGGATACATGCTGCTACTGGGACCGATAGTGGAGAACATTGTACAGGGGGGCCGTGGTCAGTATTCAGCCCGGCTAATTGCAAGCTACAGTGGGAAGATGTACATTTATATTGGACCACCCTAGAGTAACTGGAGAACAATTGCAAATCTGATGTTTAGGAAAATATCACAATATTCAGAACTACCCATGGGAGTAATAATGAGCCCTCATGGCTGTGAAATGTACTTAAATTTCTCATGGAAATTTTCCAGTTTCCTACACCAGTTGATGACAAATGCCTAGGCCCATCTATTTCTCTGGTTTATAATTCCCAACAGTGGCTAGCTGAAGGAAGTTAAAAAAAGCAGAGTTAAAAAACAAAGTACAATAGCCCAAAGTAACCAGGTTTCAAATTTAAGTTTACTAAAGCCAAATTACTATAGGGACATTTTTTTACTGGCTGCTCCTAGTTTCTGCACTGTTTTCTTTGAAAAAGTGGATGTCTGCTGTATATACTATATATGGGAAGTTCTACATGCATATTTGTGAATGTATTCCTAGTTCTTTTACATAAAGGCAAATAATATGATTTGTGGCTTACTGGTCCTTTAAAGAAAGGATTAATATCAAGCTTGGTAAAAGAAATAAAAATCAGTTGCTGATATGGAAGAGCAAGATGATTGGAACTAGAACTAAAGGGCAGGTTTTAGTACAGAGAATGGAGGGAAGAAGGATTAATAATGTGGAAAGGCACTTATTGGACATAGACTTAATGGGGCTCAAGTAGTCCTCTATGAATATGTTTTTATGATTTACCCACTGGTGCTGGATTAGGTAGGGGGATGTGTCTGACTGTAATGAAGTATGACAAGAAAACTGCCATCGACAGTGTGCAATAGAGGGGAAAACAAGAAACCAAGAGAAGGAATCAAGTTATTATGAATGGTGGTCTAAGAATGGGAAAATCCAGTTTCCAGTTATACTAACACAAGCAAAAACTTGATATGCACATTTTATTACATGCTGTTACAGAACAACCATTTAGAATGTATGCAGTCAATATAAAGTAGACGTGTGCAGAGCAAATGTTTAGTTATACTTGCACAATCAAAACAAAATTTTGGGGTGCTGGCCAGGCTAAAGGAAATTGTATATTTTTAGTAATTATTATTACATGCTAATAATTGAAAAGGTATCTTTTTTATTTTTGTAATATTTTTTAAATGTTGACTTTGACATTATTATGGCATCATATTAAAAGACACATAGTGCATTGTTCTATATGTCAGACAGCATAATCTGTATGTTGAAGACCACTGTGAAAACATTAATTGTAGGAAAAAACCACCTGGAAAGTAAACTGTATTCCAGGCTGTGTGAAGTCTGATTTAGTAGGATTTTGCACAGTAACACTCCAACAGCTTCCAATAAATCTTAAGCGCAATCATATCTTACATGGGAAGCTTAGCATGCATTTGTAATGAGAAAATATGGTAAACAATGTGTAGTTAATTAAATACTAATTCAAAAGTCAACATGAAAAGAGGGTTTTTAAAACATTAATATGTATCTTATCCACACAATGGCACATCATCTATACTGGGGTTGAGCAATTTTCTGATACAGGTAGAAGAAAAATTCCAACTCCACAATGCTGTATGATTAGAAGCAATACTGTACTGACCTCCTATGTCCCTTTGGTAGCAGGTTACATAAAGTGCTTGCAGAGTCTATGAACAATTAGATCCATTAGCGATACAAAATGTAATGGTGTCAACAATCACTGAGTTTAGTAAATACAATAAAACTCCAGATTTTAAAGCAGATTTAAACACCCCCTTATGTGTTTATTTAGAATGTCTTATTGTATTCAGTATCATATCTGCATTTGTCTTTATATTAGCTTCCCAAAAGCCCTGGAATATTAGAATTCAGTAGGGTTGAGGACAGGACAGACAGCACTGTCAGTCTAACACAGACAGCTGATAAGTGGAAATGACTTGATGCTTATTCAATATCCAGTCACAGCATGGGCCAACTCCATGACCAAATTGTTTTACTTCAACTGAAGTGAACGTGAGCATGGCTTATCTCCCAATGTGGGGACCTTCGTAAAACACACTCACTGATGCTCGAGGAAACACAAGCATGGGGCCATGGTCATGCAGAGATCAACATTAAGGCGATTTCCCAACTTAGAAGCTAGTCATTGCACAGATTCACTTTGTACACTAAGCACTTTACTGTTGAACACTTTCCCCATGTCACTGTACACCTTCTCCTCTCTTCAAGAATGCATCATTTTCAAGGGGACACCACAGAGCTTGTGTCCTGCTCACCAGTGCAGCCATGATTGTCACCTCACTCATAGTGACAATTCCTGCCATACACACAGTACAAACTTCTGTTACTAATGAGCTCTAACACTTTACTTAGATCCATCTCTTGCTTCCTCTCTATTCTCAAACCTCCAGTCTAGGTCCCTAGTTTCCCTGTGCAAGGATACAGGTCCCGTGCGGAGGTACTGATTGCTAAGGAGGGGGTTGAGCTCACCAGCCCCCTCACTACCAGGGTTACCATCTACAATGCCAAGTACTAACCTCCTGCTGGCTGCGATAGCACCATTTTGTTGGTTACCCATAGTAACGACAATATAGCCATGTCTTCTACCAATTTCTTGGCATGGTTAACCCTTTCACAGTGGCCCTCTAGCATTTTCTCTTCATCCCTTTTGTATTAGCCCTTTTCTTGTTACGGTATGCATGTACTACTTTTTGGGAAGAACTTCAGACCAGGCACTTAAAAGTTAACAAAGCTTTTACTGAAGAACTCTTGCAGATACAGTTAATTCAAACAGTCTTTCATAGATATCTTGCAGCATAAACCTTTCCCTCCTACTCCAGGCTGCCCCAGCTCGTACTTCTCAATGTTGTAAAGATCATTCTCACACAGTCTATTTGCTCTTCTGTAGAACCCCAATCAGGTACCCACCAAGGAGTGGAACTCTCTTGACAAAAGGTCATTATAATAAGCCACAGTCCTGCTTTTTCTTTCCCATGTGCTCCAGGTGCCATGAGAGGTTATGAGCTGCCACAAGGGGGTGGAACCATGAATACCCAGGCATCGGTACCTTAACCTTCTTAACTCCTAGGCAGCTTGTTAACTATTTTCCACAATACACATACAGTAACTTCAGGTAGAAGAAGTTGGCATAAAAACACTGAGTTGGTACAAAGTCTTACAAAATGAAAGAACAGTTTAATTTTGCACCACACCGTGAGCACCTGCTTACATACAAACGTCTGATCATAAGCCTGACTTTGCGGTCTGCCAGGGGTTAATATATTTCAATACTGGCTGACGAGATTTACAGTTTTTTTGGCAGGTAAAACAGTTTCAATAGTTTATTTAGCTTGTATCAACAGTTCTGCTTTAAGTATATATATAAAAAAACTAATGCAACACTGTAGGTATTGTAGAAAAATCTTCCAAATTTAACAATCCCAAATCCTAGAACATTGCAGAGTATTGTTAAACATATAAGTAATCTTTTTCACTAAGCATTATTATCTAAGGTTGAACACTTGTATAGTTACACTCATTTCACTGTCATATTCTGCAGTGACAATTTGTATCCACTGATTTTAGTTCTGTATATTGAAAACTTGTAATCTTATAATAAATATTTTATCTCCTCTTCTAGTGAACAGATATACAGAGAGTAACACATCAGCTGTATTATGTCCCTCTGGGAGCTTGGTGGTGAGTCATTTCAGAAAGCAGAATGCACTGCCTACAGTATTTCAAAACACGCATCTACATACTGACGATAATAAGCATCCCAGAAGATTTGCACACTAGTCAATTGCAAATGAAAGCCCAAAAAAGTTTCTAGCACACTGGTCATTATATATAAATATCAGTGTAGGTTGAAACTGGCTTCGTAGTGAAGCACTACAGAGAAACAATAATGATAAAATGCAAGTTACCTTATATAAACCTTGTTAGGGAAATTAGTCTTTTTGCTGTATTTTTTTAGATGTATAAATGTATGTGAATGTGATCAGCTTAAAATAAATGTAGCTCTACCCCCGCAGGGGCCGCTTGATAATGCTTGTCCCCAGTGGTTGCCCTGGCCTTGCAAACCTCCTGACACCTCGACACTCTGGGTTCAGACATATTTCAACAGTAGGAAATATTAATGCAAGAGACACAATTCTTTAGTAACACATCTATATAAGTCTTGTTCAAAAGAGTAGACCACGGAATGAAGGTTTAAGAGGTATATCCCCAGTTAACGCGTAAAAGCAAAACTCTGATAAAATGGAAATAACCAAATACCAACAGTTAGCACATTATACGGTCACAAATATGTTATAACTATGTAACTGCAACACCAGCAGCAGAAGGGGGAAGAAAAGGCTTGTTGACTTATAAGCTCTCTCTGGGCCACCGGTGTCCCAATAGGAAAAGCAAAGAATTAAGTAAATAAAAAAAAAAAAAAAAAATACACACAGTATATATACTCTGGCATAAAAGGGTATAAACACCCTAATTAGAATAACGATGGCTTAGATGCGAAGCGATACCATTAATTAAATAGCAACTTGAGTTCTGAGATGTTTAAAGTTCCTGATGTGATAGTAGCTGTTGTCTTCTGCTAGCAATG